TGATGCTGGGTGATGATCCCCCTCCCCAGGATTATCGCATGAGATCATCCACGGATTGGGAAGCCTTCAAGGCTCATCTAGTGGAGACACGTACAGACCGTGAGGTGCTTCAAACTCGCAACGGTCTCGACGCGGCAGTGGCAGATTTCGAATTGTCTGTGAATAACGCTTTCCGCGCAACCACAACCAGGACAGAGTGTCCTCTGCGGATCTACAATGAGTTTCCTCCCAGGATAAAGAACCTTATCCGGGAGAGAAATCCACTCAGACGAGTTTATCAGCGGACTCTCTAGCCTGGAGACAAGGCTGCAGCTAGCAGGATGACCAACCAGGTTAAACAGGCCATCACTGACTATAGAAACGAAAGGTGGAGCGAGTGTTTAGAATCGCTCGAACTTGGCAGGCTCGCAGAAGAGGAAAACCGCTCCCTTCCCTCTTCACGGACAGCGCAGCATCTGCTACTCCCCCGCCGAGAAGGCGTTGGCCTTTGCAAACACAATCTAGAGTCAGTTTCGACTTAACGTTGATCCGGATAATGATATTGACCGTGATATCCGGCTGAAACACTGAGTTCGGCGCATCCTTAGGAAAAATGATGACGACGTGATCCGTCCAGCTTCAGAGGAAGAACTGAAGGGGTACATTAGGGCATCCAAACCCAAGAAGGCTCCAGGAATTGATTCGATCAACAACAGGTTGTTGAAGCAGCTCCCGGATAGATATCTGCTGGACATTATCAACAGCTCAATCACTCTCAGATACTTTCCTCGAAGATGGAAATATGCCGTAGTTGTCATGATTCCGAAACAGGGCCAGAACCTGCTGTTTTCCCAGAATCATCGTCCGATTAGTCTGCTTTGCTCAACGGCTAAGTTGGCTGAACGTGTTGTGCTGCAAAGGCTAACAGAAGAAGTAGAATACCGAAATGTTCTGCCTGACGAACAATTCGGCTTCAGGAGGGCACACTCCACCGAGATGCAGGCCCTGAGACTGGTCGAAAATTCCATCTCAGAGCTGAACAACAGGAAGACAGTCCATCTCGTCCTTTTGGATATTTCGAAAGCCTTCGACCGAGTCTGGCACGAAGGCCTGCTACACAAAATGCTCGATTTCGATCTGCCTCGGGGTCTAGTCCGGTGGATTAGGTCCTTTCTGAAAGGCTGAACATTTCAGGTCCGAGTTGAAGGAACCCTGTCTCCCGTCAGGGAAATCGAAGCTGGAGTGTCTCAGGGAGCTGTGCTGTCTCTACTAATGTACAGTCTTTACCTGAGCGACCTTCCGAGGTTCGATCACGTGAAGGTTTCCCTTTACGCCGATGATACAGCTCTCCTCGCTTCTTCCATGGGTCGGGCGTTGGCGGTCGTCTACATGCAACGCGCATTGGACTACCTCTGGTACCTTAACTGGAAGATTCGAGTAAATCCAAAAAAAAACTCAGGCGATATACTTGGGGAGACGTAAAGTTTCTCCAGGCACAAGGGTCACGATTTCAGGCAGGGAGATCGAATGGCAAACGCGAGTCAAGTACCTAGGTCTTTGGGTAGACCGCTGACTCACCTGGGCAAATCACATTGATAATATCAAGAGCAAAGTGCAGATGAGGATAGCTAAACTCTATCCTCTGGTCAATAAAAATTCAAAACTCAATCTTAAAAATAAGATTTTACTATACAACACGATGTTCAAGCCTGTCATCATGTATGCTTCAGGTGCTTGGGGACAAACCGCCCCGTCAAACCTCTCCATTTTGGAAAGGTTGCAAAATAAACTTCTCAGGATGCTGGTGAATGCTCCATGGTTCGTGCGGAATGAAGCCATCCACAGAGATTTGAAGCTGTTAACTATACGGCAGTCCATTCAATCGAGGAATCAGAGAGTTTTCGAGTCAGCGGAAACTCATGATAACCCATTAGTTAGGGAAGCTGTAGATTACACTATAGACGACCCCACTCGATTCAGAAGGCCCCGTCGCTCGGTTAAGTGAAGGCCCCACGACGTCTGTTGAAATGAACAGTGTGTTCATCAAATACCCCACTCAGGAAGGGGTACACAAGGCCAGAGCGGCATAGAGGTCATTGACCTTTATGTCCTACGAACGACAATCCTCAGGAGTCTAAAACTTGAATTCACGAAATATCACTTTCAACGAGTTTTTGAATTATATGCTACTAGAAGGCTATCTGTTCTTTTTTATGTTTTTTTTAAATTTCTGGGAATGTATCCAATTCTAACTTGAAGCTCAGAGTCCAGATACCTGATTATATATTTTTTTTATTAAATATCTGTTGAATATCTCAATCAAAGGAAATGTAATACTACATAATTGTATCAATTTAAATTATATACTCAAAATAATCCAAGAGTGGATAGGTATACATAAATGGGTCTACAAGGCATTTTGAATTGTTTCCGATTATTTCTGAGGTGTATAATACAGTCAACTACGTTGCCAAATCTCTTCATTCGACTAATTTAATCGCATACTAGTTGAAGTAAGTATTCTATACAAAAATAACTAACATTATAAGCCCGAGATTTGCACCCTGACCTGCAGTTCTTGTGCTTATGTTCAAGTTAGTGGAAATTCCATTTCTTATCGTATAAATCTGTATACGACTCAAATATACTATTCCTAAGCCGCATTTTTATGGGTAGCAACTCAAACAATAAAATATATATCGAAAGTTTTTCTATTCCTGTTTTTACTAGAACATATACAATTATTCATTCACATAGAGCCAGGGACATAATGAAATCAGATCTGATCAACCGTGTATACTCGTTCATTCCATTCGCAATAAAGATCCTCATTTCAGCGTTAACGTTATTTGGGTTGATAACCCAACCTTGCATGTTGTTGCATTCAAAACGACTTGCTTCAGTCATGAATTATTTTCATGTGGCACTGTGTCTAGTGATATTTTTCTCAATAATTCATAGAAACAAATCTGAAAATAGACTACAATTTGAACTCAATTTGACCTTGAATTTGAAATGAACGTGACAATAAAATAATTATTAATGATACTAAAATTATTTTTAGTATATAACCTTCTACAATCTGTACTTTTCAATTTGCCCTTTATTACACTTCAGCAGATTCTCTATCAATTTAGCTTTGTTTAATTTTCAAATTGCGGAAGGATATTTACAAAAAAAAGAAACAGTAAGAGTCCTCCACAGAAAAATGTCTTTCAAAGAAATAAAGTTGACTTCAGTAATGATGAATTATGAACAATCATTAATGAATTTCTTCGAATTTGTACTTTCTAATCAACAAACATAATGAAAGCAATCTTTGAAAAGTATCTGATACTTAAATTTTGACTGAAAGGCCCTCTGTTGAGAACTGAGGTAAATAACATCCATTTGACGCCAACCAGAGGCCCAATTCTCGACATCATGTAAATATATACTCACAGGGTTTTCAGTTTACACACAAATACTCTGATGCAGATACTTTAATTGTTATTTTCGAGGGTAAATGAAATAGATATTCCGATAGGAGAAAAAATTACGTATGTCTTAGAATAGATTCTTGAATATTGTTAATCCACTAATGAAATTACTGAAAATCTCGTATAATTTAGAATTTCTGCATTGAATATGTTCAGGAAAGAAAGATGGAGAAGAGTTGCTGTCAAAATTAGAGTGTTCTCTTTGTTATGATTGGTCATTAGTTATTGTAAAGAGGATTTTACGATTATTTTGTGGTCATCTAACATTTCTCAGGAGATATCTTTTCTCGTGTAAAATGAGAAGTATTTTTGGAAAGGAAAGTTCACGATTTCATTTCAGTCAATTACAAAACATTCAGCATATTCATCAGTTCATTTCCGTTTCCGTTCACACATATTTGGCTATACAATAGTATCTTATTCAATATTTCTAATAATCCATTAATCTCCATTTTATTTTTCTGCTAATAGTAGGAATCTATGATTCCTAATCTGTAGCAAAATTTAGGCAATAAAATGATTCTTGAATTATACACAAAATTTTATCTTGTTAGGAAAGGCACCTGCAGATACTTCATTAGGAGAAAAATATCTGCGTCTTCCCCGAAATGATTCGAAATATCTGCGTTGACAATACGAACATTTTGATGAATTGCTTGTCATTACGCATTTCTACAGCATCGATCTTGGTTTTAGATCAGAAATTTCCTAGTGGATTTTTGGAGAGATTACTATAAATGTTTCAACAGAAAATCACAGGTAACATTTGATATTATGATTATGACAGTAACTAGAGCCTAACTATACTGTGTCTGACTCCTCAAATGAATTTTTGAATCGAATAAAACCTCGTCAATATATTGAACAGATACAAGAGACAGAAAAGGAAAATGAACTGCCACACTTATTCATGCTGTTTGCTCTCATGGTATTGCTGGATAACAGAGCTTTCATGAGAAAATTAAAATTTATTGATGGAAATTTGAGGTTTCATGTTATTACAATTGATAAAAATTGAAAAAGTTAAAATGAAATATTTCACGCACTCGTATCTGGAGCCAATGTAAATAATGATATATTACATGTATATCATGTGGTTTTTTTGATTTTTATAATATAACATGTATATGTTATGTGATTCACAATACAATTCAAATATTTAGGTTTATTTGTGGCATTCCCAAAAATTTTGTGAAATTTGAATAAGCATGACTTCTCGAGTCATATTATTATGCATAGAAACCAATTGAACTGAGCAACACGTTCTATTCACCATTCGTTATTCATGAAACAGAAAATTAACATTGACTTTGTTTAATTGGAATGTCGGTCTCTTGTGTAAGGTATTTTGACACAGAATATATAGATTTTAATGAAATTGAAAAACTTAAATGTCTTAATACGTAACAAAATAAGGAAGAAAAAGGAAGTAACATGGCTTATAATATAAAATAAGTAAAATTGTGCTCTCGTATAGCCCTCGAGTGCATGGAACTAAAACCTAAAATCCAGAGTTCTGTGCCGAGTGCAGAATTTTGCGCATATACATAGGTGGGGGAATTCGTACTAATACAGTTTTTCCTTTTCTTCTTTCTCTATCTCCGTGGACGTCAGAGAGGTAAGTCATGTTATAATTTCAAATTTATGGTTATTGATTTTTTTATATAAGTGATTTTTGCTGTATATTTTCAGCAATTTATCACTTAATTTATTATTCAGTAGTCTACTGGTAATGTATTAATTCATCTTATTGGATTCGTAAAATAACTAACTTTTATATTTCAGTTTTCCTGACTCCATAAGAGCCGGCTACCAAAGGGTTGAAATTATCATTAATAACGACCCAGAACATCTACAGGAAAATTCATAAAATGTGAGTTTAATTTTGTTATTTATAGTTACAAGTGTATTCTCAGCTTTGGATGACTCATTCGCGGAAAATCCATGCAAAAGTTACGTCTTGTAGTGATCGCCATTTTAACTACTTCGAACTTCCGGTTCAATGTGCTAACTGCGGTGCGGTTATCATTATCAATTTATTGATCTCTTCTATGGCGCAACGTGTGTCTTCGCACGAGGATACGTTTTTGTTGCAATAAAAAAAATCACAAGCTTAACGATGGCATTACAATTTTTGAAAATCAAATCTGCAAGTGCCGCTTTGAAAACGTTTTCAAATATTTATAGGTCTTACGGTAACAAGTCAGTGGGTGGTGCTGGCGGCTTCAGGGGCCGCGAGAACGGATTTTCCGGAGGAGACGGCTTCAAAAACGGTAGTTCCGGCGGAAGCTTCAGGAACAGCAGTTCTGGAGGTGGCTTCAGAAATGGCAGTTCTGGAGGAGGTTTCAGGAATGGAAATTCAGGAGGGGGCTATAGAAACGGTGGAGGTGCCGGATATGGTGGAGATAAGTTTGGTGATTTTAATGGACAAGGGTTGCGCAAAGTCGAGTGGGGCAGAAAGTCTTTGCAGCCCATCAAGAAAGATTTTTATGTGCCCCATCAGTCTATAGCAAACCGATCTGCATTTGAAGTAGAACAGTATCGTAATTCTAAAGAAATCACAGTCGATTCCAATGCTCCTAACCCTATTCAGAATTTCAATGAGGCCTGTTTTCCTGATTATGTGATGAATGAAATTCGTAATCAAGGATACGAAGCCCCTACTGCCATTCAGGCTCAGGGTTGGCCAATAGCAATGAGTGGTCATGATATGGTTGGCATTGCTCAAACAGGATCCGGTAAAACTTTGGGATACATCCTTCCAGCTATAGTACACATCAATAACCAAGCTCCTTTAAGTCGAGGCGATGGACCAATCGCTCTGATTCTAGCACCAACTCGAGAACTTGCCCAGCAGATACAGCAGGTAGCGAATGACTTTGGTAGCTCGTCTTATGTAAGGAACACCTGTATTTTCGGTGGAGCACCGAAAGGACCCCAGGCTCGGGATTTAGAAAGAGGAGTAGAAATCTGTATTGCTACACCTGGTAGACTTATCGATTTCTTGTCGAAAGGCACAACAAATTTGGAGAGGTGTACTTATTTAGTTTTGGACGAGGCTGATAGAATGTTGGACATGGGTTTTGAGCCTCAAATACGTAAAATCCTCGGACAGGTTCGACCTGATAGACAAACTCTCATGTGGTCTGCAACATGGCCCAAGGAAGTGAAGAAACTAGCTGCCGATTTCATGACTAACCCCGTTCACCTCAATATTGGATCGATGAATCTCTCTGCAAATCACAATATCCTGCAGATTGTTGATGTATGCCAGGAACATGAAAAAGAACAAAAGTGAGTATCTGAAATACTTATAATATGTCCACTCATTCAACTATTTTTGTGTTTCAAAATTGAAAATTTTCAATCATATTTCATAACATTGAGTTCAAACCTTCATATTCATGATGCCATATTTAAATAATTGGTGTTCACTGATAGTTTTTGAAGAGGATCAAATAAAACGTTGAATCACTCTTAATAGGTTTCTATTTCAACATATTTATGAAAAATTGCTCATTTCAACACCCCCAAGCTCTTCAATTTTCATATACTGTTAACATTTATGTAGTAAATGAGTTCAATGACTAATATTTGAATGATTCTGACTACTACATCTCGTAAAGAGCATAACCGCGATTATTAACTCTATTTGGAAAGTGAAAAAAGTCTTACTGAATATCAGTGACAATTTTGATGTTATGTAGTAACACTGTCTTTATTCTAAACACGAATTATGTAATCAAATAACCTACCAATAACTCTTCAATGCATTAATTATTATTCTTTGTATTCTATTTGGAAAGATGATTTTGAAAGATAAAAGTTATCTAAATTTGATTTGCTTCAATGATTCTCAATTTTAATGATGAGCCAGCCTTATGAAAACTGTGATTATTATTGTCGCACACCCTTTACCTCTAAGAAGAACTGAAAACGCTCTTGTATCTAATTTATCAGAATTGAATTTGTTTGTTGAGATTAAACACGCCTTTCTGTCCTTTAGATTAGGCACCCTTTTGCAAGAAATTGGAACAAATGGTGAACCAGACTCTAAAATTATCATCTTTGTGGAAACGAAGAGGAAAGTAGAAGGAATCACAAAATCTATACGTAGGTACGGTTGGCCTGCAGTTGCCATGCACGGTGATAAATCTCAACAAGAAAGAGATTATGTATTAAGGGAGTTTAGGAATGGCAAAGCTACCATTCTGGTTGCTACTGATGTTGCAGCTAGGGGATTAGGTGAGTTTTTGGTTCAACATTTTTTAGATAATTTTGGGCACACTTTTATGTACACTTTCGATTGTTAGTTTTTCAGTTTTGGGTTATTTCAAATTTTGTTATATAAAAATAATATGCAGCTTTATATATTCTGTGGCATAGTAGCATGGATTTGTAGTTCCAGACTGGTTGATTCATATTCTACTTTTTAAATCATTAGACATTCTATATTATTTTCTTTTTCAACATAAGCTCATAATGAACACAGCTGAACATGTGATCAGGGGGTGTATATCAATTCATCAAATCTACAGTTGAGCAATAAATTATAATTGAGTAATGACTACCTTCACCATATTATTGGCTCTCCAATTCATGTTCATTTGGATTTACCTAAGAAATTCAGGAAGATTGATGGAAATCAATTTATGAATATTTTTATTTCTGAGAAGATTGCATTGCAGCTTCTTTTATCTGGCAATTAACAATTTATATGAGAGAAAGTAGTTGAATGATAGTTTATCCTAATATGCAACTTTAGAGGAAGAGTTTGCCTACTTTGAAATCAATTGCTTTAAGAAAAATAAGAGAAATGTTCTTATTGTGTCGATATATATAAAGTAAAACATTATATAGAAATTGACTAGGAAGTTTTAATATTGAATTCCTAACACAATGTGAAAGTTGAAGTAAAAACAAATGCAAAAGAAATATCAGTCAAGCAATTGACTGATTTAGATAAGAGAAAGACTATATTTCTGCTAGTTTTCTCAACATGGCTGCAGTTTGTATATTTGATTGAGAGAAAAGTTTCTACTCAGATTGGCAAAGTGAATTTGACTGAAAAAGTTTAACTCTTCCTTCACGCTAATTGTGAATTGATAATATAGACTGATGGAGCTGGTCAAGATGGTCGAGATGAAGGGTTTCAATAGTTTTTAGTATTCAAGTATTGCCTAAAAAAATTTTAAACTAATTACTTCAATTACTAATTTACTTCATAAATGACCATCGTAAACAACTCATAACTTTTTATGAATGTCCCTATCTATGCAACTGTTCATATGTTCTGGCTAGAAGATGCTATTCTATAGCGAAACATGTGTCGCGGTTTTGTGAACTGTCAAGTAGAAATCTCGCATCAAAATGTTTTTTGAAAGATAAATTATCTTTCAAAGTAAACATCGAAATTGCTGTTGCACCTGACCAAATCTTGTTGATCTGTCGAACAGTTGAAGAAAGTCGATTTTAGTGGAGTATGTCATCAAGAAAAGCTAGATATTGCAAAAAATGCACTTTTATTGAGAGTTAAACTAATGCTTATGAAATTAGACAAGCGATGCTTTTAGAAGGCCTTTTTCTTTAAACACCATAGTTTTATTTAGCTTATTCAATTTACTTTGGAAGTTGACTATTCATTTAGAGTTATGTTAATCAGTCTGGGTGTCCATTTTGTTTCAGAGGCACATGCAGGATGAGCGTACTACTAAAAACTGAAAAAAAAAAAGTGATACGCCTTTGTTGCTTTCTCATTGAGGATGCAATTCTGTTTCTTGCGGTGCCTCTGGGCTCCTGCCTACCTCAGAAAAAAGGAAGACCAGTGGAATATACGATGCTTGGCAAGTGGATAGTTCGGCTTTATCTCATCGTGGGATGATTTTATGCCGATCAGCGAATATTTGCCATGCATATCTTTTGATATTTGTCTTCCAAGTTTTGTGTGGTACTGAAGCAGGCAGTGTTTTGCTACTATTGCCATGATTGAGAAATGGTTAGTATTTAATTTGTTTCTTTATTATCCTAGAGTACGTTGCTGTGTTTGGGGTTTTTGACAAGTTTCTTGTGATATGCTGGGATCATATTTGTTGATTACTTTTAAAGAATCCTTGAATTTGTTATATATTATCAAGTAACGGCGAACCATTTTCATATTGTAATAGTCTGCCATGACATTATATTTATAGAAGTCTATCAATAAAAAAATGTTCAAAATAAATCAAAAGAACTCTCTTGTAACTGATTGAATTATACTCTGCATATATCTAATTATGCATAATCTTTAGTTCCATTCAATTAAAATCAGACCAATATGGAGGTCATTTTGGCTTGCTAACACATTGTTGATTGGATCTTCATAATCAAGGACTATTAGACAGTGGATTTGCTGATTACATTGCATCTGGTTGAATTTTTTTAGTGGACCTTTATTTCACTGAAAAAAAGTCCTATCAAATCCATGTAAAATTTTTTGTGTTTCAAAAAAAGTTTAATCAATATTTTTGAAACTACCATAAGATGAGTTCTTGTATTTTTCTCTGAAATATCAAACATTCAAATCAAAAGATTCGTGTTTGTAAAAATTGAAGTATCTTGAGAACTCTCATAGCCTACTACTATAAGTGGGTTCTTCACCTTTATTTTCTAACTCTATATTCACTGGAAGTTAACATTTAAAACTGGTTAATTCTGACACAGATAATGTCGCCACATATGTGAAGTACTAAAGACATTTTTTCATGTGGTTTGACCAGTAAGTATAATGAGAGGGCTTCTCATTAGGATTGTTCTCTTTTATAGTTTAAACATGAACAAAAGTCTATAAAAAGGCTTTAAAACTTTTTTTATAGAGTATATTATAAACAAAAAAGTAATTACTCAATTTATCGCACTATCCTCATTTTCTGAGATATTGAGAAATCTTTTTTCTGAGGCTGATAGAGTTGTATTTGGATGTAATATATTCAGTGATTTTTTTGCAGTAACAGTATTAAAATATTAATCTTATTTGATCATGGCAAGATTTTCTTATCATTATTATTTCTCAACAATGTGACATGATTTCATAATTACTTTTCTGTGCCAAATTATTTGACTGCTGTTTCCATTTATTGGTCTTAGGTTTAAATTACATCCCAAACTCTTGATTTTATCTAAATTTTTTTTCAGAAAATGGTTGATGAGAATAAACTATACATATTTATAACAAAATGATCCCAACTTGTGAGACCATGTATTTCCATTGAGAGAATTCTGGTAGATACTTGAAAAGAGATGTTTACTTTTAATACAGCTGTCGCTCTTGATCAAAGAAAAAAATTGGTTTTATTCACTAACTGAACAATGTCATAACTAACTTTCAATTCCAATCTTGGCAACGTTATTGTTTCAAACAATAGAGAAAGTGGAACGATGTTAATGCTCTAGTAACACTTGAATTTCTCTTTTGCTGCAATTATACTTTTGCAACTAATACCAATTGCTAATTACATATTTTCTCTTAGATGTGGATGGAATCAAGTATGTAGTAAATTACGATTATCCAAATTCGTCCGAAGATTACATACATAGGATAGGAAGGACGGGACGTTCTGAAAGTACTGGTACATCATGCATTCTTCACACCGTCCAACTTCAAACAAGCCAGAGATTTGGTATCGGTTCTAACAGAGGCCAACCAGGTAAGGATTTTTTTTTAAAAGCAACTTTCACCTTTCATTTTGGTGTGCCTGCGCTCAGTACTTTCGGCGCAGCATGAATGCTTTTGGAAGGGATATAAATTGATGGGTAATATGCCTTCGGTGTCCACACTTTTTTGTCTGGATTCCATCCTCAAGTTACCCAACACTATTTTCAAGTTATTATTTTATTGTCTCTCAAATTGTTTTCTGTGAATGGGAAATTTTCATTACCAATTTGTCAGAAGATGGTCCTCTTTGAAAAGGTCCTGTATTATCTCGAACCTAGTTGACACATCAAATTTGAAGAACTTTTCATCATACAGAGAGAATGAATCAACAATGAAAAAAGTTTTCATTTATAGGGAGTGATTTGAGACACTGTATACACAGTACCTGCCAAAAAGTCTGCACCTGAAACTGTTTTTCCTTTTGATTTCTCAAAAAAAAATTATTCTTAATAGTTAAGGCACAGTCTATTCGAAATGTATCAGTCAAATTTCATCTTGTTTTTCATTGTGTATGAGGGATGTCAAATTTGAATTTTATGAAGAGAAATGTTTGCAATTACAAACTACTCAGTTTGGCAACTGGAACTTTCTACACAAAACAAGTTATTTCACATAATGGCCAGCGATCGCACAGGTATAGACTCTCCTAACTAAATTACTATTGAATTACAATAAGTTCTTTGCCCTGCCAGTGTCTACCAATAATTAGTTTTAATTAGGGTAGCAAATGGAACATGACTCCTTTGTAATTTCTTTTCATATTTTATTTAGTATTATAGGTAGTAGTACAGTTCATTAAATTGTTATATGATACACACTTTGTTAGGCATTGATATTTTTTTCAGAATCAACATAAATTATTCAATATTACTGGAGTTTTTTCCAAACACCAAATCGTTATTTTTAACACCTCGACAAGTGTTTTATCTTCAAGAGGAAGATGATCACTTGGTGATCGAAACACGTGTCGAGGTGTTGAAAATAACGATTTGGTGTTGGGAAACAACTCCAGTAATATTCATTACTACTCCAAAGGTTCCAAACAGTACATCATAAGTACAAATTATTCAGACAATGCCAAATGCCAGCAGCATTGGAGGACAATTATTGATACGCCTCTGTACAGAACATTTGTATGTTTTGCAAGAGCCAATGCTCACAAGCTCATTGAAAATGAGTTTGTGCGCATCGGGGGGGATCGCCAACACATTTGGCTCTTGCTGTACTTGTTTTAAGGTTTTGACTATGTTGTGTTTCTTTTGCACCAAGAAAATAATAAATATAGAATAAATGTAATTATTTTTTCAACTTTGAATGAAGTGGAGTAAAAAATATATAATTGAAGAATTTCACAAAAATTGTTTTCATGATACAATACTTTGAATTATTTCTTCAACATTTTATAATACTTTTTCTTACCATATCTTCTATTTATTCTAAGAGATATAAATTAAGGTTAAGAACGAATTGTGAATTTATGTATGTGAATGTATTCATTTATTTGTTTACTATTGACATTTATTTTTTGATTCACCTTTGTGAAATTTACATACGA